GTAGAAATGGCTCCCTTTCATTCCTAGTTGACCAAGAATTATTAGGAATGTATGTTGAATTTTAACAGATGCTCCTTTTATGAAGATGAGGTTTTTCATTTATTCCTGTGATAAATTTTATACTCTTTTTGCATGTTCAGAATGCCCGAATGTGGTGGTTCCCATAATTTCCTAGCAACACCAACGTGTGGCTGACAAGGTGCGGCTTTTACAATTACTAAGCCATTTCTCCTTAACCTTTGGGTCTTGAACTATTTCGCTCAGGTGAGATAAGCTTAAGGGCTTTTGAAGACCAGTGTACACTGAGCGTGATTCTTGACCGTTTTCTTGTACCTCTTCTGAACGGGTCCCATGGTTCTGCTGTCGTTGACAGAAAAGTGTCTCTGGCCTTGAACTTCTTTGCTCAGTGAGACCGTCCTCGCATGCAGACACCCTGACGGGTGTCCCAGGTACAGGTGCAGCATGGGACGTTAGGGTCGTCACCGATCCTGTCTCCATGCGAGGGGCAGTGTGGGCGGGCCAGCCTGTGTGCTGGCCATCCCGGGCTGCCTCGGAGCTTCCGGACTTTGGCGCGGCTGTCCAGGGTTTGCTGGCGTGACCTTGGGAGCCAGAGGCTGCTCTCGGGCCTCTTCTGTGCCGGGTGCTGCCCAGTAGGTTGTGCCTGTCAGCCTGAGCCAGCTTAGGCTTGTGTCTTACAACGCAAGCTGGGGAGCTGTACTTTCTTTTGACTGCAAGTGCCTGAAGCTTTGCATTTTCCCGCCTCACTGTCCTTTCCTTAGGAGAAACTTCAGATGGGGTGAGTAAGTCGGTGCAGAAGGTCTTTGACTCCATGCTTGGAGAGACGGAGGATGATGAGGACGAGGATGAGGATGAGGACGAAGACGAGGAGACCCCTGAGCAGCCCACAGCCGGTGATGTGTTCGTGCTGGAGATGGTTCTCAACCGTGAGACCAAGAAGATGATGAAAGTAAATCCTTACTTGTTTTGGCATCTGTGTGAGGAGTGAAACTGTCATTGAGAGTCAGGTTTAAATTACACTTGGGAAGAAGGAAAGAAGTGCTTCAGGACAGTAGTTGTCATTTATTTGTTATGCCTTTCGGAGAATTTCAGTGTTAAACCTTGATTACTGGTGTATGTCAAAATGAAGTTGTTTCTCTATTACAAGGTTGATGGTATATCTCAAGTATTTTTATGAAGTTCACTTTGAATGGATAGATTTGAAAGGTGGATCTTCAGTAGGCTGTAGCATACTTTTCTTGGCATGTAACTCCATGTTCCAGCATAATGATTTTAGTCCAGGTAGTAATTTGGCAGTTTTCTTGACCACTTTCATTGTTCTCCTAACATATTTTACCATGCTTTGAACTTTTTATTTGAAGTTTCGTTTGTGACTTTATTTCCCTACCTTTTATTTCCTTTTTGGGGAAATTTTCCTTTCCTTTCCTTTTTTTTTTGCAGAACCGGGGATTCAACTCAGGCCCTTGCGCTTTCCAGGCAAGCGCTTATTCTACTGAGCCATCTCCCCAGCCCCCGTAGAGTAATTGTGTTGTTTTGTGCATTGGACTTTTTCCTGCAGTGTAGACTTTTATGGAGTCAGGAGTGTAGCCATGTGGTCTCTTTCTCTCTCCCCCATTTTTAAAAAATGCATTTAGTACACAGTGTATAGGGTCTCACCACATAGTGATTCTCCTGTTTTCTGCCTCCCAGTGCTGGGATTACAGGCATGTACCACCACAGCAAGTTTCAGTCACTGTCTCGGTGTGCCCCAAGGGCAGGGCTGGCACAGCATGCTGGGGATTGAACTCCAGCTCATGTGCGCTGCCTAAGCAGGTGCTGTAGTCTGCTGAGCTATCTGGCCGGCACTGGTCTCTTAAGTTAGATGTTTTAAAAAGCTTTATGGGAAATTAATTTCATTATGTTTTATATTAATGTACTTGGGATGAGGGTGTAAACTTTACTGTGTTTTTATTTAGATGTCATTTTTTCTGTCATACAGGAGAAGAGGCCTCGCAGCAAACTTCCCAGGGCACTGCGGGGGCTTATGGGTGAAGCCAACATTCAGTTTGCACGAGGAAAGCGCGAGGAGGCCATTGTGATGTGCATGGAGATCATCCGACAAGGTGCTCTTCCTGGGACATTGTGAAAGCGCAGCTTAGTGGCCTGACGTGAAAGCAGATGGGGCCCCAAACTGTCTGTAGAAATGACTCAGGAACTTAGAGGGTATTGGCAGTATATTGTTTGTTTGTTTGAGCCAGAAGTTTTCAGCCTGGTCCTCAGTTCCCCAGGTAGTTGGCCTTGAGGGGCCTGTGGATCTTCCTGCCTCAGCCTCCAGGGTGCTGGCATCTCAGGTGTGTGTCGTCACGCCCAGCTTTACAGCAGTATTACTGAATCAGGTTGAGGTTCTGGGTTTAGGTGCTGCTTAGAATCCCTGTCTGCTCATCAGGTATCCCTAGTGCAGGAGCTGGATCCTGAACACTACTCTGATGTGCTAGTGCCCGCTGGGGTGAGCTTGATGAGAAATTGGGCCATGTGGCAGCCTTTGTGAAGCGTTGAGTTCGTCTTGATACTGTATATTTTGTTTTGTTTAACACTTCATTAACAACTCTAAAAATTCATGAAAATAAAATGAAGCAAATTAAAATACTTTGTATAATTATGCTATGTGGTTTAAAGAGTTTTGTAGTTTTAAAAAGTCCACACTGAGCAGTCAGATGGACATGAGCTCACATGGCTGCTTCCTGCAGCTCACACAGCTCCCTCAGCCATGAGATGTGTTTCTCCCCTTCCTGTAGCTCCTCTGGCATATGAGCCGTTCTCTACACTTGCCATGATATATGAGGACCAAGGTGACATGGAGAAGTCGTTGCAGTTTGAACTGATTGCTGCACATTTAAATCCCAGTGACACTGAAGAATGGGTTAGACTGGCAGAAATGTCCCTGGAACAAGACAATATTAAGCAGGCTATTTTTTGCTATACAAAAGGTAATTAAAATATTTTCCTTGCTTTGATTAGATGCTTCATAATAGGTGTTTAGTAATTGTACTCACAGTAGTGGTTATGACGTTGCTGAAATGGATTTGTTTCCTACACTGTTTTACCAGTAATAGAGTGCCTCTGTTCTCATGTTATCAGCTGCTTTACTTCTATTGTCATTTAATATAGCACAAAAGTTGATAAAAGAACAGAACAAATTTTAGTTTCCTGCTCAAGTGTGCTCAGTGCTAAGCTCTTCCTTGAAAATTCAGGTGAGACTTCAGTGACTGAGAAGCTGTGGAGACTCAGGTTTTATCTGGTCTTAAATTGATTCTTCTCATGAATTCCTACAAAGATGCTTTCTTCCAGATAACATTCTGTTTCCATTGGAGAATTAGTTTGTGGCGTTTATTAAATTTTCTGGGAAAATTGTAGGTCCCATTCAAGTACTGAGTTCCTCTTTGTAATGTAATTTTTAATCCTTTTAGCTCTGAAGTATGAACCTACTAATATCCGTTTTCTGTGGGAGCGGTCAAGTCTGTGTGAACAGATGGGCGACCATAAAATGGCGATGGACGGGTACCGGCGCATTCTAAACCTTCTGCCTACGTCTGATGGAGAGCGCTTTATGCAGCTGGCTAGAGACATGGCCAAGTGAGTTTGCAGTCTGATGTGTACATGAGCTGTTATTAGTCAGTCTGATTTTATAAGTCAGAGTATAAATTTGAAATGTGACTGTCATTGGTATTTGGAGAAGCATTTTATGTTGCAGTTACAATTTTCTTTTTTTTTTTTTTTTCGGAACCGGCGATTGAACTCAGGCTCTTATGCTTGCCGGGGAAGCGCTTATTCCACCGAGCCATCTCCCTTGCCCCCCATGCAGTTACAGTTTTCTTTGGTACTTTTGTGTTTCTGAGTCAGCTGACTGCTTAGAAAATGTTGTCTATGAAGTTACAACATCCATGCTCAGATGCTGAAAAGTGAAGCGTGTTCTGAAAGGTGGTGAGGTTCCCAGGTTTTCTCTGCTTCTGTTATGCAGCCTATTTCTGGGCAGATAAAGGGCAATTTCATAGCCCAACACCACCTGGATAAAGACCACAGAATTAATGGGCCTAACCTAACGTGTCCACATCAAGACAGCTAATGAGGCTTATAAAAAAGAAAGTACACAAGACAAAAGGTGCAGTATTTTTTAAATTATTTTTTGTCAAAGGTATGCCAGTGCCAGGTTTATAATCTGGGATCTTGTAGTCAGTTCATCTTAAGCCAATAGAATGTTTTGAGACTAAAAATTTTCTTCTACAGTTGTTACATGTTATTCGTTGGGTATTTTTTATTCTAAAGTACAGGAAACATTTTGCGCACCTTTTGTGTTGTGCACTTTCTTTTTTTTTAAGCTATGAGGGACTATGAAGGACTATGAAGGACTCGCCAGGTGGCCTGTGCACAGTTCTGCTTTTCTGTTTGTGTACTGTGTGTTTTTGTTGGAGTAGTGATAGCCAGCTCCGATACTGCCGTGGAGATTGTCTTATGTGGAGCTGGGTTAGGTCAAAGTAAGGCGCGCCTTAGGAGACAGGTGGGGGGAGCAGGCGGTGCTGGAGGGGCTCCTAACAGGGCAGAGGAATGGGTTATAGGAATAAGGGGAGAGGGGAGGATTATAGGATGCTCACACAGTAAATCCTCCACTTACAGACTAGTTCTATTCCAGGAGAATGTTTGTTAGTCTGATCTGTTCCTAAGTCCGACAAAGGGAGTCTTACACAGTATGCCCATGACACGTGTGCGACCCGAATGGTTGCCGATCATGGACTCTCTGTATCTAGATGGGATGCTCCAGGCTGGAGATGTACTAAAGTTGGTGAGGTCCAGGGCACTTGTATTTCCTGAGACTTTAAGGAAGTGAAAGTCAGTTGTTGGGTGGCCCATGCAGGAAGTTAGTTTCATAATCAGACGTAAGTATTGGTTTGTCTTGCCAATTTGTAGGAGTTACTATGAAGCCAATGATGGTACTTCAGCTATTAACATAATTGAAGAAGCGTTCTCCAAGCACCAGGCCCTGGTCTCCATGGAGGATGTCAATGTTGCAGCCGAGCTGTATATTTCTAACAAGCAGTATGACAAAGCATTGGAGGTAGGAGTGCTGCTGCCTTTTCCTGATTGTACGTTTCAGTGTTTGACTCGTTAGCCATCATTTTAAGCACACTTAAATTACATATCTGCATAACAGGTTTCTAGATTCTATGGTAATTCTATATGGAATATAAAATGCATTTCGCCTATGGTGCGTGAATCAGCTGTCACTAGCGGTGATGCATGTGTGGGCGCGGCCGAGCAGCAGGACCTGTAGGCAGGCTGGGTCCTGAGAGCCAGCTCTGGGGCTGCGGAGTGTAGCTTTGGTAGCTGGTGAGGTTTGTAGTACCTTTAGTTTGTGTTGGTTAGTGTGTAGTGAGTGTGACTGTGTGGCAGGATTCCTTGTTTTTGTATTTACTAGAGGGTCTACAGGGTCTCACTACACAGATCAGACTTGTAGTGAACCTCCTGTTTTCAGGCTCCCAAGCTCTGGGATGACTGGCATGCGCCACTGTGCCCAGTCTCAGTTGCCATCTCAGTGCGCCCAGGGATGGGGCCAGCACAGCATGCTGGGGATTGAACCCCGGTCCTAAGCAGGCACTTTAATCCATTAAGCTATCTGGCAGACCAGGATTCCTTGTTTTAAAAAGACTTCTCTGTTTCATATCCCCGATCCTTTTATTGGGGGTTGGGGGGGCTGGCTCAGCCCACTGTGAGGGCGTGGCTGGTATAGCATGTGGTGCTGGGGCTCTAGGGATTGAACCATGGTCCTTGCACCTGCCTAAGCAGGCACTTTAGACTAATGAGCTATCTCACCAGATTTTGATGTTGCGGGCATTATTTGAATTATTTATAATCTTCACATTTTGGAAAAAGGTTTTTCATATGTAAATAACATTTTCTTTCTCTTTTCCTATTCTTTTAGATAATTACAGATTTTTCTGGAATTGTCCTAGAAAAGAAATCTTTGGAAGAAGGTGGCCCCTCAGAAGAGGATAAAGGTTGTAGATTGCACACACCAGGCGCGTGCCTGCTGTGCTCTTTTCCAATCAATAGTTAACCTTCCCACAGCAATTACACCCACATGAATGTGCCAGGCTTTCAGGGACCTCTGAACTCTAATAAATGGGCACTGCTGCGAGTGAGGGGATATATCCAGGAGTAGGAAAGGAAGCACGCGGGGTACAGGTGTGGGAGCCTTGTGTGGCCTGGCGGGGCCCTCGGGTGGTCAGAGTGCTGTGTGTGGGTCTCTGGGGGAGTAGTGGTATGCGGAGACCAGCAGTCCAGGTGCTGCCCCTGGGGGTCTCTGTTGGGAGATGAAGTGCTGCTGTCCAGGTTCCAGTCTCTGCATTCTTTTGTGAAAATCAGCAGAATGGTCACTTTGTAACAGATGAGTGTTGGGTGTTCTCACGCTAGCTGGAGGGGTAGAGCAGACGCACCACTCCCTTGGGCTGCAGGCCCTGGCTCTGGCCCTGGCCCTGGCCCTGGCCCTGGCCCTGGCCCTGGCCATGGCCCTCGCCCTCGCCCTCGCTCCTTCCTTTCCCATCCGGATGGAGTTAGTGCTGTGAGCACGCTGGGGCTCCAGGCTGCAGCTCAGTGGCCTGCCCTTGCTCTCTAGAGCCCTTCTTGCCTCAAGCAGTGTTTTTGACAGTTTGATCTTGTCTCAGCTGCTTTCTTCCTGTGTGCCTGTTCCATCGGACTTTTAATTCCAGCTTTGCAGTAAGTCTTGATTCAGGATAGTTGATGTTTACTTTGTGATTTGATACAAAAGCAAGGGTTTTGGTTTTGTCATTTCCCAGACTGCTTGGAGGAGGCATATTTCACTGCGCAGCATCTGTGGATTTGGGCGGCCACATTGGTACTGCAGCTTGGGTGCTTCCAGTCCTGGAGGCTGGGTTGTCTGAGATCAGGCCCTGTGGCAGCCTTTCCTCACTTGGGGTGCCATCTCTGTGTCCTCCCATGCAGGAGGAGTGAGCGGAGCTTCTGAGCTCTCAGGAGAACAGAGGTCCTACCCCTGTCCTCCCGACCTGATTGCTGGCCGAGGCCCCAACCCTTCATGCAGTCTGCTTAGGGTTTAGATTCAGTGCTTGAGTTTTAGGAAAGTAGTTTCTGCCAAGTAAATACAGATGATGGAATTTGCGGTATGGAACTCACATATCCTGTAAGTAGAATCCCTGCAGTGAGATAGACCTGGACTTGTCTTCAGGGTGCTGTGGCTGAGGGGCTCATTGAACAGACTAATGTCAGTTAGTATCTTGGAGCTCAGAAATTAAAAAGTGTCCTAGTATATAAAACTTCTCCAGATCTTCCTATAACTAGAGAGCTTTGTGTGGTAATATGTATGTATAAAATGTCTGTCTGTCTATTTGGTAGAGGATCTTGTTATGCAGCTTAGACTTGTAGTGATCCACCTGTCAGCCTCCCCAGTGCTGGGGTCACAGCGTTGCGCCTGTTTATGGTGGCCAGCTCAACACAGAGCTGGCATGGCATGTGGTACCTCGGATTAAACCTGGGTCCTTGCTCTTGCCAGGCAGGCACTTAGATCACCAAGCTATCTCCCTGGCCCCTTTATGTGGTAGTATAATTTTTAACAAGTTCTATAAAAGTAGATAGATTTAATTTTTAAAGTAATTTAAAATTTTACTCTACCATTGAAAGTAAATTGCTGGCCAGGCATGGTGGTGCATGCCTGTAATCTTAGCACTGGGGAGGCTGAGGCAGGAGCGTTGTTGCAAGTTTGAGGTCAGCCTGAGCTATAAAGTGAGTTCAAGGCTGGCCTGAGATGCATAGTGAGACTCTGTCTCAAAAAGACCAGAATAAATAAATGAATTGCTAATGTGTTATGCTTTAGAATTTTCTGAAATGGAAACACGAAATTTATACAGAATGTGTAAGTGTGTGTCAAAAGTTTTTAACATTGCCCACAGCTTTAAAGATTGTTTTTGCTACAGTGAAGTTTTAAGAACAGTGTCATTTCATCCCTTTCTTAGCCTTTTGTAGTAAATGGCAGAAAGAGGGTTTTGAATTGAAGAAGATGAGAATGCCTGATCTCAGACATGTTATGTCTTTGAGGCTTTGGTGGGCAGTCTGGGGTTCATGTTCTCTTGAGGAAGTGGACAACAAGACCAGAACGGGGAAGGCCAGTGCAGAGGCAGGAAGAAGGCGGTGCAGTCGCTTGCTCTGAGTGCTCATGCAGAGGCTGAGCACCCCGCTGCTGCCAGCTGAGCTCAGGCGTGGAGACGGCCTCTTGTCTTTTTTTGACCCTGCAGCAGACGAGATGGTTGCATGTGCGATCCCCGAGGGTGTGCCCATTGACATCATGGTGAAGCTCATGGTCTGCCTGGTGCACCTCAACATTCTTGAGCCACTCAGCGTGAGTAGCCTGAGGGCCACCAGCAGCAGGAAAGTGCAGCAGTGGAGGGCACAGAAGGACTGTGTTGCCCTCCTGTCGGGGTCTGGGAAAGCTGAATGTTTTGGGTTTGGGCTTCAATAGGTGTTTCCCTTGTTAAATAAACAATCCAAAGATCAGAAATTGAGATTGGGTCTTTGGACAGTTGCTAATAATCCTGACAACTATTTGCCCTTGATAACCTTGGACAATTCAGTGAATTGTAGTGGGACCTGGGGAGGTCACTTGGTGGTAGAGTGCTTGCCAGGCATGCATGGGGACAGGTGGGGGAGAGGGACGGGAAATGTATGGGCATCTACTTTGTTGACCTGCGGACAAAGTATTGAGTAAAATACAGCATAAAAATCCCTATTTTGATGGGTCTTTGTTCTAATGGAATTGGATAATAAATTCATAAAATACTTAATGGGCTACTAGTTGGTGTAGGTGTTCTACAGAAAAATAAAAAAGAAAAATAGGTAACACTGTGTTTGGAGAAAGCTGTACGTTTTCAAGAGGGGTCAGGAAAGCTGCCCTCCCCAAGGTGACCTTGAGTGAGGGCTGCTGGTAGAGAGGACCGGAGAGCCTGGCTCCCTGGACAGCTTGCCCACGTGCTTGGCTGCTGGAGGAGCAGTGCAGGTCATCAGGCGGGCTGGAAGAGCAGTGAGGGAGGTGTAGTCCTTTCTGCAGGCGAACTCGGGAGCGCATGTGCACGCTAAGTGGGCTTTGCACGTGAGAGCGCGCGGCTGACTCCAGGCTCCTCTGCGTTCCAGCCTCTCCTGACCACGCTGGTGGAACAGAATCCCGAAGACATGGGCGACCTCTACCTTGACGTCGCAGAGGCATTCCTGGAGGTGGGCGAGTATGGCTCCGCGCTTCCGCTCCTCAGCGCGCTGGTTTGCTCCGAAAGATACAGCCTTGCTGTGGTTTGGCTTCGCCATGCAGGTGACACATTTCTGTGGGACAGAAGTGTTTAAATTCCATCGGTGGCAAGAACTTGCTTTGCCAAGGTGGTGGTAATCACAGAATCACTCTCAGTGCACGAATTTCTGGTTTCAGGGCAGGCATTGAAGATCAGTATTTTAAATTGTCTTCATAGACTACTAATTGATCCCCCCACACTCATGGTTTGGAGGAACAACTGACAGTGGTAATAGAGTCAGAGGACTGACACGTCCCTTAAATGCCCGTCTCAGCTCTACACTTGAGTTTCTAGGAATGCATTACTGGACGTGGAGTACAGTCTTATCCTTGGGAGAGCTTTTATAGATCTATATTTAGTGTTATTTTTAAGAAAATATTTGGGCTGGTCAAATAGCTCAGCGGATTAAAGCACCTGCAAGCCTGGGGATTGATCTCCAGGCCTGCCGTGCTGGCCCTGCCCCTGGGGTGCACTGAGATGATGGTGATTGAGACTGGGTGGGTGGCACACACCTGTGATCCCAGCACTTGGGGCTGTAAACAGGAGAATCACTACGAGTCTGATCTAGTAGTGAGACCCTGAACACCCTGTAGACCCTTCTTTAAAATATAGAAAAAAAAATACTTAAGTTTTCATGGCCTATAAGCCACATTATACTTTATCATTTTATGGCACTGTGCCTGAGTACCTAGTAGTCCAAAATCATTTAGAGTAGAAAAATAACTTACTAGACTTCTTACTAATTGAATATAAAAAGCTGTGTTAAAAGTAGAGCACTTGTGCTTTACTCATGATGGAAGAAGGTTCTAGGCTCTCCAACACTGGCAGCGGACAGTTCTCTGCACTGGAGAAAACTGGTTGACACTTCAGGACTGGAGTGGAGCAGCTCGCCGCATCCCAGGAGCCAGGAAGGGCCCTTCCTGGTGACGGCGCAGTGCCAGCGCTGCCCCATCATTAAACATAGTCTTTGGGATTTGCATTTTAAAGATGAGCAGAGATTAAGTGTCTTTGCTTTCCTAAGACTGTGATAGTGAAATTTCTCCTGTGTTACTAATAGTAGCTTCTTTAAAAATCATGTTTAATTATGAGCATGATTCTAGTAAGTACTATTTCCAGTTTGAACCCATGTACTTGAGGTGAATGGAGGATAAAAATCCTGCATACCTGAATCAGTGCAGTCTTTCTTTTTTTTGGCAGAACTGGGGGTTGAACTCAGGCCCTTGTGCTTGCCAGGCAAGCTCTTACTCTGTTGAGCCATCTTCCCGGCCCAATCAGTGCATCTTTAAAAGTGACAAATGAAAAAGTATGATGCCACTCTGATGGTCCTGTTAAGTGTTCTAATTTCTAAGAATTGACTGTAGACAGTGGTTTCGGGAGATTGATGAGGACAGTGGGAGGCAGAAGGGTCATGTGGGAGATCACAGAGGTGGAAGCTTGAGGAGGCAAAGGAGCCTGTGCTGTCCCCGGGGTCTGGGGCAGAAGAGCACGCGGCACTGTGGGGTGGGGTCCGCGGTGTCCTGGGAGTGTAGCCCGAGGAGGCAGGGTGAGGAGCCCAGCACCCAGAGCCAGGAAGGTGACAGGATGTGAAGTGGGCAAGGCCAGGGCGGAAGCCCCACAAACCCAGGCCTGGGGCTGTGTACAGATCCTAATTTCTAACTACGGAGGCAGCTGGTAGATTTTAAACCGCTATTCCCTAATAAACATGTCTATGGATTAACTCCAGACTTACACATATTTATAGTGGTATTATTAGAGGGTAAATTTGGAAATAATTTAAGTGTCCAATAATATGGTTAAATATTCAATTTCATTATCGTACAGTATTCAGGAAGCCACTGAAAACATGGGAAACTGTCTGAAGCATAGTGCTGCGTGGACAAAGCTGAGCTCCAGATTGTGTCTGCTGATTGCATCCTAGCCTTTTAAATTTAATGAGCTACAGAGATCAGTAGAGTAATTGGTCAGGAAAAGTGCTTTGCACATAGGTGCACTTTGCTCATCTCCTGCACTGTTCTGCTCTGCCACCGGTGGGAAATCATCGTGGCAGTTTGCAGTCTTTGTTCAGCCAGTGCTCTCTAACCCGCTCCTAGAGTGCCTGAAGGCCCTGGGCTACATGGAGCGCGCCGCCGAGAGCTACACCAAGGTGGTAGAGCTGGCCCCACTCCACTTGGATGCCAGGATCTCCCTGTCCACCCTTCAGCAGCAGCTGGGCCGGCCCGAGAAGGCACTGGAGGCTCTGGAACCAATGTACGACCCAGACACGCTGGCCCAGGATGCAAGTGCCGCGCAGCAGGTGGGCTGGGGCCTGGGGTTCCTTGCTGGGCCGCCTTCCGGTACTTGCTGCCGCTGAGAAGAGCACCTGTGGCTTTAGCCAAGGTTTCGCTTCAGTGTACCAGACTCGGTGTGTTTGACAGATTGGATCCGTGGGGACTCTTATCTCCATGAAAGGGCTTTCTTCAAGAAGACAAAAAGCAGTGAATGCTGTTGAAGTTGAAGCCCTGGGGACCTCCTCTGCCTCTGGTGGGAGTATCAGACAGCACAGCTACTATGGGATCGGTGTGGCGATTTCTAAAATAGAAATTCCCTCAACCCAGCTGTGCCTCTCCCGTGTCTGTTCCCTGAAGAGTTAGGAGTAACATGCGGTGCATGGCACCAGCCACGACAGCTTCGTGCTGGCGTCCAACTCCATGCCCATCCATAGGCTGGAGAAGCAAACTGCAATGTAGAAACAGGAATGTGAGTATTCAGCCGTAGAGAATAAATTTGTGGGGCTCAGTAGAATAAGCATTTAAGGGCCTGAGTTCAATCCTAGGTTCTGCCAAAAAAGAAAAAACAAAAAGAATAAATTGGTGTCGTTTGCAAAAAAGGATGGATTTGGAGATTGTAAAGTTAGATGAAATAAGTCACTTTTTTTTGCTACCAGGAATTGAACTCAGGACCTTGCATTCGCCTGGCAGGCCCTATGCTGCTGAGCTATATCCCCAGCAAAGACAGAAATATAAATGTTGGCATTTATGAAGTATAAATGAAAAGTAAAGCAAAAGGGGTGGGAGGAAGCAGGGAGGCAGGCTTTGGAGATGGGGAAGAGACGGGGAAGGGAAGGGGCCGTGACAGAGCTGTGTGTCTGCCGCAATCTCTGGCTGCCTGTAATGTCTCCAGATGAATGCAGCTACTGTAGACTGCAAATGTACACTAAGAAAAACTGTCCTTGAAAAAGGATTTTTAAGTTTCCCAAGTTCCAGCCACTTTTTGGTATTTAGGACAAGGGTGTACAGGTCTCACTGCGTAGATTAGTCTCCTAGTGATCCTCCTGTTTACAGCCTCCCCGGTGCTGGGATTATAGGTGCATGCCCAGTCTCAATCGCACCCTGGGGCGGGGCCAATTCCGTAGGCCTGGGGATCGAACTCCAGGACCCTGCATCTGCCCACGCAGGCACTTTAATCCACTGAGCCATTTGGCCAGCCCTTCAGCCACTTTTTATTAGACTTTATAAATCATAGTTGCTAAGATCCTGGACTGAATTATTATGAAAGCTCAAAAGCAGACGCTCTTACAGCCTGGTTTCTAAAGCAGAACTCCCTGTGTGCATATCCCGCCACCTACCACCATGTGCTTGTCCCTCAGGAGCTGAAGCTGCTGCTGCACCGGTCCACGCTGCTGTTCTCGCAGGGCAAGCTGTACGGCTATGTGGACACCCTGCTGACCATGCTGGCCATGCTGTTGAAGGTGGGTGGCAGCGTGCCGTGCGTTCCTGCTGGCGGCAGTATTAGACAGGACCCAGCTGCTTTAGCACACACACAAGAAAGTTTTCCAGGTTGAAGTTTGGCCTTAGTGCAGAACGCAGGCACAGTGTGCTTGCCAGTGTGGTTTCTCTTGCTGTGTTTCCCCTGCTTGGCTGTTTCTGTCCCTTCCCTCTTCTCCTCTGTCTTTCTTACGTGTGTGTATGTGTGTGGAACCGGGGATCGAGCTCAGGCCCTTGCGTTTGCCAGGCAAGCGCTTATTCTCCTGAACCATCTCCCTCGCCCCTGTCTTTCTTACGTGTATTTGTTTTCTTTTAGTTTTTTGAGTCACAGCTTTTTGTTTTTTGTTTTTTCTTTTTGGTATTGGGAATGAAAAAACCTCACACTTGCCAGGCAGGCATTGTGCCACTAAGCTATAGCCCCAGCTCTGTTTTTTTGAGACAGTGTTTTGCTATGTGGTTCAGGGTGACCTTGAAGTCACTGTGTAGCCCAGGTGGGACACGAACTCATGGCAGCCCTCCTGCCCCAGCCCCCACGTGCTGGGATCACAAGCGTGAGCCACCATGTGCCCAGCTCCGCCCATTGTATGAAGCATGGTTAGCTTCATCTTCCCTTCTGAGGTGAATAGTGTGGGCTCCCAAATTCCTCTTGCAAAGAATAAGTCACTATACGTTCAGGGGGGTGTGAGTATGCGTGTGTGCGCGTGCATGTTTTATAATATAGTAATTTGCTCTTTATTTTTTTATGAGCAGAATGTATTTATTGAGCAGAAGAAAGCTCCTGTCCAAGAGAGAGACGGGAGGGGGGCCCGAGAAGGTTGTCCCTGCTCTTTTTATTCTTCGTAGAGTTTTCATTTACATTCATAGTGCTTGAGGCTTCTTGGTCTTTGACAAATGGACTAAAACATACCTGCCTGTTGTCTTTACTTTAGGTAGCTATGAACAGAGCTCAGGTCTGCCTGATATCCAGCTCCAGATCTGGAGAGAGACACCTCTACCTTATGAAAGTTTCGAGAGACAAAATAGCAGACAGCAGTGACCAAGAGACAGCAAATTGTGATGCAAAAGGTAACTCACTTCCTTTATTATATAAAATTCAGCTGAACTGACACTCATGAAGTAACTCACAGTAATCTCATTGAAAATAGACCCTGCTCAAATAAAGTGAAATCGCCCACTCTTAATACCTCATGTACAGTGAGCCCATTTGATGCTAAAAGCGAAGTTTAATACGCACACAATGAGTCTGTGACGTGTGGCTGAGTCGGGTTCATTCCTAAATCCAGGTCTGATAAGGGGGGGTCTCACAGCACACCTCAAATGATTGCAAGTCAGGAGCTGACTTCACTTCCCTTTAACGTGTGAAGGAAGCTGGCATCCCATAATCCCAGCACTCTGGTGGGCTGAGGCAGGAGGGTCGTAAGTTTGAGGGTTGGGTAGATAGCTCAGTGGTCTTAGCCTGTTAAGGGTGAGGACCGGGGTTCGATCCCCAGTGCCACATGCCATGCCGGCTCCAGAACCCCGGGCACCCTGAGCCAGCTACCAAAACGGGGCGAGGTGGCGCACACCTGTAATCCCAGTGCTGGGGCGGTTGAGACAGGAGGATCACCGTGAGTCTGAGCTGCATAGCGAGACCCTGTACCACATCAGTAAATAAATAATAAAAAATAGAAAAGGAGGGAAGTAGAGGTACCGCTTGGTACAAAGGCGCTGGCTCCATCCCCAGCAGTGCACGATTAACAGGAAAGCTTTTCCTTGGGTCTTTCTGTGAGAAAAATAAAACTTTTTATTTTTTTACTTTTTTGAAGAAAAAAGTACTTGTGAGAAATTTGTGAAGCACAGTTAATAGCAGGGTTGTTCGTCTCGTCGTCTCAGGCACAGATATTCCACTAGCTGTTGAACACTTCTGGCAAAGGTGGTAACAGTCCTAGAAGTGCTGTGGAATAAGTTGTGCCGGTCTCAGGTTAGGATGAGGAGACATCGATTTCTAACTGGAAAAACATCAGGTGTGCTTGAGTAAGTTGACCACTAGAGAATTTTAGAAAAGATTTAGGCTACAGTCTAGAGCTTGCGGGGACAAGACAGCTGTGTAGCAGCACAGGGTGCAGGGCGTGAGCACCAGAGGACCAGCGGGGCGCGCAGCTGCCGAGATCTTGGCTGTGTGGGTGGCCCCTCCAGCCCTGCGTCTGGCCCCTGTGTTCTGTTATTTCTGTATTTTTATGTATTTGGGACAAGGTTTCACTCTGCAGCTCGGACTCAGACGCATAGTGATCCTCCTGTTTTCAGCCTCCCAGCACTGGGATTACAGTCATGTGCCACCACACCTGGCCTCTGACCCTTGTATTCTGGGCTGTATTCCCACAAAGTTAGAGTTTCTTCTGTATCTGACCTGCCCATTTTTTTCGTTGGTTTCTTAGGTTAGTACAGTTGTGTTGAGTTTATCAGGGTGGGTGGGAATCACACTCCCCTGGCAGCTGGGGGTAGGACGCGCGAGCTGTAGGCTTCCACAGGCTGCGTGTTCAGCCCTTCCAGCTGCTCTGGTTAGGCATGGGGAAGGTCCCACTGCACCGCAGCTGCATAGTTTGATCATGTCCTTATTTTTTTGTGTGGTTGCTTCTGGTAATTAAAGATAACAAGTCGTAAACCTCTTTGTATTCCTTCATACTTTGATTATCTGGGTGGATTTCCAGGAGAATAACTGGATCAATCAGAGTAAACATTTTTTTCTATTAAGGTTAAAGGCTTCTTACAGAGAAATAAGGAAAGAAAGTTTTTAAAGGAAAAGAAAAATTTAAAGGCAGAAGGGGACAGTGGAGATTAGGTTAGGACAGTCTGTGTCTCAGCATGAACTTGACCTCACTTGCTGCGCACCCTGTGGCGCCTCGTCTCTGCAGATTTCTGTCTTGGGCTCTGTCCTGCTGCAAGCTGGCTGGCAGTGAGTGGGAAGTCTGGGGTTGCACATTGTCACACCTTGTGGAGGGGACGGTGCTAAGGGAGCGCCTGCTAGAGCCTTCTGTCAGACTTGTGAGCACGAGTTCAAGCCCGTGAGACCAGGGCTGTGAAGGTTAGCTTAAAGCTGGTCGTGGGGCTTTCGTGGGTGCCGCGCTCACTGGCTGCACGTGTCTCACAGCGATATTCGCGGTGCTCACGAGTGTCCTGCCCAAGGATGACTGGTGGAGCCTTCTGCTGAAGGCCATTTACTCCCTGTGCGAACTGGCCCGGTTTGAAGAGGCCGAGCTGCTGGTGGACTCTTCGCTGGAATACTACTCATTTTACGATGACAGGCAGAAACGCAAAGAACTGGAATACTTTGGTCTGTCTGCTGCGATTCTGGACAAAAATTTCAGAAAGGCATACAACTATATCAGGTGACTTTCTAATTTATTAGATTACTCAATACTGTACATCCTTTTTTTTGACAGGTACTCATAATGAATTAATACATGCTTGTTGCTTACCAGTTTGGGTCACTGGTGATTATCAGAGGTAGCATTTGAGACCGGTAGTGTTTGAGGCTCTAGACTACACTTTGGGGGTTCGGATCCCAGCCCTGACACTTTGTGGCTGTGTCATCTAGGCTAGTCACTGCTCGTGCCTCGGTCTCTTGTATATAGAGAAAGGCCGCTAGTTCTGCCACCTCGTAGTACATTACGTGCTCTTCCAAAGGTGCGTTGAGTTATTGCATATAAAACTTTTGTGTTTTTTAAGTCGTGCGTGGTAGCTCACGCCTGTAATCCCAGCATTCTCTGCAGGTTCAAGGCCAGTGTGGGCTACGTAGCACGAACCTGCCTCAAAAAGAAAAAGGAAAAAACACTTTTTGGTGGTACTGGGGATTAAACATGGGGCTTTTGCACTGCGTTACCGGCCCTTTTTAGTCTATTTTTAGATAGGGTCTTGCTAGCCACGTTCCCCAGGCAGGCCCTGCATTTAATGGCTTTCTTGCTCTGGCGTCGTAGCCTGCTGGGATGCAGGCGTGCAGTGCACACCTTCCCTTAGAGAAAGCCTTTGACTGCTGCTTGAAACAGTATTCATCTCCGATCTGCAGTTGTGGGAAGGGAGAGAAAAAATGAAACGTAAACCATTTCTTAGGGGCTTTTTTTGTTGTTGTTGTGTTTAAAAGTTTTGTTGAAAAGCGAAAATAAGATGTAGGCTACTAACTTGAGCAGCTTTTTCTAGATAAATCATCTGTTGTGTAAGAGGTCTCGCTTAACTAGATGGAAGCAGTCTGCCGTCCTTGTTGAAGGGGTGCATCTGGGAAGGATGGCGCTGCAGGTTTCAGCCTAAGAAGTGAGAGTTTCTTCATACTTGATTTCCCTCTTACCATCTTCCCGTGATTCTAGGATAATGGTAATGGAAAATGTCAATAAGCCCCAGCTCTGGAATATTTTCAACCAAGTCACCATGCGCTCCCAGGATGTGCGACATCATCGCTTCTGTCTTCGTCTCATGCTGAAAAACCCAGATAACCACGCCCTGTGTGTGCTGAACGGACACAACGCGTTCGTGTCAGGCAGCTTTAAGCATGCGCTCGGTGAGTGCCCAGCATGTGGCTGCGGAGTGCGGAGTGTGGCTCGGGGCTGGGCCGGGGAGCGGCACTGCCTGGGTGTAGGCGCTCGCTTCTCCAGGGCCGATTACTCCTGCTGCTGCTCCTTTATCTCTGCAGTGAAGATGTCCTTGGACCTTCCTGTAGGTAATGGGGGAAAATTAAATGAGTTCATATAAACTACTTCAAGCAGTGCCTGGAGGGTGGGGATGTGGCTCAGCAGCACAGCATCTGCCTGCCTGGCAAGCACAAACAATGCCTGAGCCTGCTGTGGCACACACCTGCAGTCCCAGCAGTAGGCTGAGGCAGGCGGCCCGCTGAGCTCAAGGCCCGGCTGAACTGCATAAGGAGACCCTGTCTCAAAAAATACAAAGTGCTGGTGTATAGAATAAGTTCTCTAAGCACTACAGTGGTTCCTTGGGTTCACAGGTGCTTTTGTTTGCAGATAATTTTGTTCCTGAGCAGAAGCATTTGGCACAATCTTGTTTTTGTTTGCAAATTGCGTTGGATGGCAAGCAAGGTGTTTCCCACACAAACTTGGCCATATTTTCCAAAATCATAGAACAAATTGTGTGTGAACCGAAGAGCCGTTGTATTAGCAGTGACGACAGCAGTGTTAGCTTGTTAGTCTAACTTCTAGTCACAGTAGGTCTCACAACGTATTTTAAAGGTCAGTGATTCTCCCTGCTTAGGGTTGTTTAAAAAATAATTTTTATTATAGATGTTTTGTCATCTGCTTTTAGTTTGAAATAATGCAGAAAAGGACTTAAGATTTGTTCATAGTCATTTTTTAGGGTCACAGTTTTTATATGGTGCTTAGGAATTTAAGGAATGGGCAGGTGAGGTAGCTCGGTAGTCTCAGGGCCTGCCTGGCGAGTGCAAGGACCCAGGTTCGAGCCCCAGTACCACAGGCCACCCGGGCCACGTAGCAGGAGGCAAAGATTCTTCCTTCGGGAGAAAAATGTTGCCTCACGTCTCCTCCACGCTTGATTGCTTTTTCACATGAATGTACAGCTGTCTGCTGCTATTTTGTTTTCAGACTCCCTGTTTCATGAGTTTTCAAAAATACTAATGTAAATTATCACGAATGTTTTTGGTTATCAGGGGATTTTATGGTAGTGTATAGTACTGTATATTTATGCTTTTAATGATTTGTGCCTTAAAAATTTTTTAACGTATACAACTATATTAGAAATGTTAATTCTAACACTACAAGAACATTAACATGCACTGTTTACAGTATGTATTTCTTTAGTGGATGAATGCATATGTACCGTACGAAGGGCTTATAAAGCCTTAAAATATATAAATACTAAAATAAATGTAACGTTGTTACTTGCTGACTTTCACTTGTTGCAGGCTGTCTGACACTAACCTCCCGATAAGCGAGGGACCGCTGTATACGTGTAATATGTAGAGTTCCTAAAACTCCGTATTATTATGTTAGGTAAAGTTAGCTTTTCTCTGGAAAAATAGTTGCTACGTTGAGAAGAAAACCTTCTAAGGACCAACCTGTTCTCCTTTTGTCCCTCCCGTGGCCACATTTGAATTTGTGAAATGGGGCTGCAGCACAGTACACACAAGCCTTCCGTGCCCGTCGCGACGAGCCCCTCTACAACCTGTGTATCGGCCTGACCTTCATCCACATGGCGTCCCAGAAGTATGTGCTGAAGAGACACGCTCTCGTCGTGCAGGTAGTTAACCGGGCTTCTGAGGATCTCTCTGTCCCTTGAAAATGTCTATTTAATGCTTTTCTAAAATGCTTCTTCACCTTCACGTGTAACACTTCTCGGTGTACGTGTTGAGTGACAGTGCGCAGCACCAGTACCACGTGCGGCGCTCAGGGAGCTCTGCCCAGTGTGCATGGGCCACAGTGTAGCATAGCGATGTGACAGATGTCACAGCCAGAATCCACGGAGGCTCTGTTAGTGTCTTCTCTTTGCCGAGACATATTCCCTGTCACCTGCGACAGCAAGTAGGAGAAGTTTAATTTGCTCCAGGTTTCAGTTTGTGACCGCTGGCTCTGAGGCAGAGCCATCACGGCAGAAGGCTGTAGTGGAGCAAGACTGTTCAGTTCAGTCACAGCAGCCCAGCCCTCTTAATTCAGGTTGCCTTGAACTCACAGTGTCCAGCGTGGCCTCAAACTGGCAGCAGTCCTCCTGCCTAAGCCTCCCAAGGGCTAGGCTTACTGATGTGCGTCACCACTCCTGGCTGCGGCCTAACCGGTTTCTGATGGAGCCATAGCCTGTCCGTCTCTCACTGCTGGGCACCTGTGGCTCAAATGTGTTATGTTCCTGCCAGCTTGGAGCATTGGTGGCACATGCATGACTGTTCCGCCAGGGGCATGCGTGCACCAGGCTTCAAGCTGGCAGACATGGGTTAACTCACGCTTCATCTCCCCTAGGGTCGGAACAGCAAGTTGGTAATTCCACTATCCCTCAACTGTCCCCCTACAGCTGGAAACTCAGCAGTCTCACTTGCAGCATTTGTCAGAAGTTCAAGTGTCAGGCTGGGGAGATAGCTCAGGAGCATAAGTGCCTGCCTGGCAAGTGCAGGGTACCAAGTTTGATCCCCGTACCAAAAAAAAGTCGAAGTCTCTTGTGAGTCTTAAAGCAAATGTATAGGTTTTTTTTTTTTGTTTTGTTTTGTTTTGTTTTGTTTTTGTTTTTTTGACTGCCTTTTTGGAACCAGGAATCAAAGTCAGGACCTCATGCTTGCAGGCAGGCCCCTTGCTGCCAAACTAAATCCCCAGCCTCAAACTCTTAGTGATGAAGCTCTGTAGGAATCAGAGTGTAGTGATGTAATCTCGGGGTAGAATGGCACAGGCACACGTTCCATTCCAAGAGGACATGGATTGGACAAGGATTGGGCCAAAGGAAGGCCGGAGCCCTGCGTGGCAGCCGTTACCCGTATGAGGTGCAGGGTGTGCCCTGAGGACCTGGGCAGCCCTTCTCCACGGCCTTACCGGTTGCACATGGCGTGGCCTGCGCCGGCTGCCCTGCCCTGCCACGTAACCCCCGGCCTGCACCTCACTTCCGGGCGTCAGCTGCATATTTGGCTTCCTTCCCTGCCCCTGACTACTGGTGCTCACACTCGGGGTCGCGAGGTCCCGTGGTGCTCTGGCCTGAAGCTTCTTTTCACAGTTCCTGCGTGCGCTAGTGCCCGAGCAGTGACTCCCTCCAGTGTCCCCTGCCATCGGGTTATTGACGGTTTCTCTGCTGCGCAGCGCAGTGGCAGTGCGTTCGCCTCAAGGCCCTGTGCTCAGAGCCCAGCGCCGCACAGCAGGTTTCCCTTGGTTCTGAGAAGCATGCAAATCTGGATTCCTCTAAGCATAGCTTGCGTTGGCTGATGAGATTATAAACTCTTGTGGCCGGCAGGATAGCTCAGCACACTGCAGCACCGGCTTAGGCAAGTCCAGGGACTGGTTTCATCCCTGGCACCACCTGCCACACTGGCCCTGCCCCTGGGGCACACGGAGCCAGCCATCGAGTCTGGGCGTGGTGGCGCACACCTGTAATCTCAGCACTGGGGAGGCTGAGAACTGGGTCCCTGTGAGTCTGAGCTGCATAGTGAGACCCTGTACCAAATACACTTTAAAAAAAGATTATAGATTGTTCAGAGATTTTTATTTTATTTTATTTTTTTTGAGACAGGGCTTGCTAAGTCATCTGAGGAGGTTCAAATGGCTGACCCTGCTGCCTCAGGCTGCAGAGTGCTGCGACGAGGTGTCACACGAAGCCAGTCGAGATCAGAGGCCTGCTCTCTGTGCACTACTGTGCCGTCCGCACTTTATGATTTCGTTGTTTTACATATTAGATGCATCTAAGTTATGTGATGGTTATAAATAGCTTATGTTCTGTAGGGTAGGACTTTTTGTCCTTTTTTAAAAAGTTATTTTGGGGACGGGGGAGATGGCTCAGTAGAATAAGTGCAATGGCCTCAGTTCAATCCCCGGTTCTGCCAAAAAAATAAAAATAAAAATGAAAAATATATTTGTTTTCCCAGCACCTGGCCTCCTTACCAGGTGAGTGAGCTGTTGAATTCTCTTTCTGGTAGGGCTTTGCCTTCCTTAACCGGTACCTCAGCCTGCGTGGACGGTGCCAGGAATCGCTCTACAACTTGGGCCGTGCCCTTCACCAGCTGGGGCTGACACATCTCGCCATCCACTACTACCAGGAGGCGCTGGAGCTCCCCCCACCCATGGCGGAGGTAGGTCTGACCACTGGACACCGAGGGGCCGCTTCCGTTCCCGCAGGTAGGGCAGGTCGCTAGCTCTGCCTGTCACTGTGCTCACTGGGACTCAGCTGAGAACTCGTGGATTGAAACACGCTGTCCCGACCCTGCAGGACTGGACATGTGGTGTTGGCCTTGGGCCTTAGAGCCGCTTGGCAGCTCCAGCACCCACCCGCGGTCCAGCCTTGCTCTGAACTCTGCCCCCAGCTGTGCAGAGGAGCTGCACTGGGCGGTGCTGCTCAGCCGGGCTGAAGCACAGCTAGCGCGCGACGGCAGAAGCCCAAGCAGGACTAGGGTGGTAGGGGAGTGTGCCCAGTGCTGTGGCATCTTTAGTGTGTTCCTGAAGGAGACAATTTTAAATTTTTAAATATATATACATGGAAGTATATAAAAATTTTGAAAACTATTTCATCATCTGGGTGCCCTTAGTTTTGGTATTTCATCAAATGAACATATTTTATAGTTACAGGTGGTGAAATACACTTGTGTTCTGTAGTTTATAAATACCTAGACACATTGCTGCTCAGATTTTACAGGGATCATTTTTAATTGTTGCATTTTTTTTTTTGTTGACCCTAAATTTTCTGTCTGAAAAGTTTTAGAAACATTGGTCAGTTTTTTTTTGGTACTGGCGGTTGAACTAGGACCTTGTGCTTGGCAGGCAGGCACTGTGCCAGGGCTAAGTTTGTGTGTTTTATTTTTTTAGACAAGGTCTTGCCATGCAATCTAGACTGGCCTTGAACTCTTAGTGATCTCCTGCCTCAGCTTCCCAAGTGCTGGGATTATAGGCGTGCCTTGTTTTTCTATTTGATACAAAACTGGGACACGCTATGGGGTGCCGTGTGATTTATTGAAGTGTGGGTATGCTGTGCAGTATTCTAAGCAGGGGAAGGACCTCCTCAGGCATTTTTGGGGAAGTCTTCGGAAGTGCGCGGTATGTTGTCCACAGGCACCCTGCTCCCGCCTCCCTGCCCCTGCTCGCACCCTCCGGAAGTGACCTGGTTCTCAGGTGCTGTTTTCTGTGCTGGCTTAGCTCCTGGAGCATGATGCCCCCCTGTGGTAACTGCAGGGATGGCAGCGTTCCCCTCTACCGCTTTGTGCTAGTGCTTGGCTGCTTCTGCTGCTTGGCTCTGAACGGTGCTGCGAGTGATGCCATGCTGGTGTCCTGCCGCCCTGCTGCCCTCTCCTCTGGATCCACCCGCGGCTGGGTCGGGGATGTCTCCCTCTGGAGCCTGTGGGTCAGGCCGAGTCAGCAGGCGGAGTGAGTGCTCGGGTGTGGGACTCACAGAGCCTGTTGTGCTGGCTTGGGATGAGGACTGCCACCGGGCCAGGTGTCTGTGTCTGAGACAGTGACGGGAAGGAGCCGTGCTGGGCCGCGGAGGGAGAGCCCAGAGCAAGCTGGTGCTTTATGTCCACAGAGCCGCCATAGGTTGGGCTCCTGGTGCTGCAAACCTGGGTCCTCCACGCCCTGTGCTGCCACCCCAGGTCACAAGGACCAGGGCTGCGGCTCTACCCAAAACCGCCTGGCCAGCAGGGATTGAGGTGGGGCCCTGTGGGAAAGGCGGGTACTAGAGGACTTGTTTGCCGCACATGCCTCAGGTGTGCAGCAGCGCAGGGGCCGGGGCTCGCGCAGCCCGCCCCGTGAGCCGGACCTTTCCAGCACATCTTTAGCAGCGTCGCTGCTCTTGGCGCTTCCTTCCCTGCTTCACGGTGTACTTTCGTTAGCAGCATTTGACTTCGAGTAGCCTTGGAGCTCGCACTTTTGCAGGCTGTTGGGGCTTGTCCTGTTGGCAACCTGAGAGTGCACGTTCCCGTGTCCTTCCCTCCAGGGCATAGAGGTGGACCAGGTGGACTTGCGGAGAGACGTCGCCTACAACCTGGCGCTCATCTACCAGGGCAGCGGGAACACGCTCATGGCCCAGTTCCTGCTGCTTACGTACTGCACCATATGAAGCCCTCGGCCACGGTGGGGACAGCCCGTGCGTAGCCACCCTCCCCTTCAGGATGTGCCTGGCAGCGCAGTCGCCTGGCGGGTGGAGCTCCGTGCAGGGCGCCGCCTGGCTTCCATGCCCAGCTCCAGCCACACAGCTCCTGTGGTTTGTATGTAAAATTTGTTTTGCCCTTTCACTGTCGCTGTCCTCTAGCGCTCTGTAGCACAGCTGTCTTAAGTGCTGAGCTGACACAATGGCACGTGGCTCGGGTGTTCCGTTGCTCACGTCTGCATGAGCTCCTGATGCAGCGAGGCCCCGACTGAGCCACGCTCCTGGGATGGAACCTGCCAGGCTGGGCACCCTGCACGGGTGGGCACTCGGTGCCCGCGGGCAGTGGCAAGACATGCCCGCTACCCTCCCCGTCCTACAGCCTTGCCCCGACCCCGCGGCAGCTGTCCGTCCGCACAGCTCTTGGAATCCCAACCTGAGCAGGTGTCTGCGTGGAAGCAAGCGTCGCGGTCTGCCCGCGCAGCCCGTGGGCACTGTGGGGAGGGGAGTGCTCATCAGAGAGCCTGAGGCTTCGTGAGCAGCACCTGACAAATGATTGAAAAGGGTGCGTGGTCGGAGAGACACGACTTAACCATTCTTTCTTAATCTGAGTGCATTTAGCTGTGTTGATGAGGCTGCTTCCAAACTTACTGCTCCAAGGCCCGAGAAGGGCGTTGTCCCTGTGTGCGCCTTCCTGAGGGGAGCCTGAGGGCCTTGTGCCCAGGCTCGGCGCGGCCCCGTTCTGAGGCCCCTGGAACCAGGGAGTGGAAGAAAGCATGGCCGAGGACACGTGAAAGCTTAGGTTAGAGCCCCGATCGCCTCAGGTCGCACCTCAGACAGACGTACTTGCAAGGTGTCGCGATGGCTTAATGGCAGGTCTTCCGGGGGCAGTGGTGTAATCGGCACGCATGGCTGTGACACCCGTCCGCCTGCGAGAGGCCGCGGGCAGAGACGGCGGAAGGCCCGATAGTTCCTGCTGCTGGTCGTAATGTACGTCTGGAGTGGAATTCGTATGTCACAGGGAAGCGCATCTACTCTACGTGTAATTTAAATAAAGACTTTCTAATTAGTCTCGTCCGTCTTTATTTTGGAGGCAGGGTCTTGCTCTGTGGCCCAGGCGACCTCAGAGTGGTGGCAGTCTTTCCTGCCGCGGCCTCCTGGGGCTGCAGTAGCAGGTGTTTCACCACGCCTGGGCAGTTCCTGTTTTTATAATGGAAGTCATTACACAGAACGCTGCTACTGGGCTGTGGCCCCTCCACGTGGTCCCCATCAGAGCCGCAGCAGCCGGCGAGGCTGCCTCGCCACCCCTGCTGAGGGTCAGTGCTGTTCAGACTGACAAGAGGCGCCAAGGTGAGAGACAGGAAGAGGAAGCGCTTGTTCTTAGAGTGTCAAGCCCAGCGGAGGATGTCTGTTAGGGTGGCTTCCAGGAGCTTCCGCAGCCGCCCCCTCCCGCGTGGGCGCACCCGCTGCTGGGCTCCGAGCCCTTCATTAGGGCCCTGAGATGCATGCCTGTGCCCGGGGGAGGCGGGGTCGAGGCGGGGCTCTCCGTGGAGCTCTCACCTGGGGAGAGCCCTGGCCCCAGCACCTCACCGGTGTGTGTGTCGGGAAAGAGTAGGCTTAGGCCCTGAGAGGACAAGGCCAGGGAGCGCGTGCTCCGATCCCTGCGGCTCTGTTCCCGGCTCCTCCCAGGCCTCTGCGCTCTTAGCAGGGCTTTGCCCTCAATACGCCCTTGGTTCTTAAGGACTCCTGCTGCGTGCGTACAGCGGCGTCAAGAAGGAAGGCCTCATTGATCCGTTGCCATTTCACCCAGCCTTCACTCGTGTTTTCACACCAAGCCCAGAGCTTGCAGGCGGGGACACTGCCACAGATTTGCTGCTGAATGGCAGGTAGCAGCACAGGGCCTAACTGAAGACTGTTCAGTGCAAGAACAGCGAGCGCCACAGTGTCCGGCTTCTCGGGCGATGCTCGGCGTGTTCCTCTAGGGCACTGATCTGGGCACTGGCTAGTCTGACACAGTTCTGGAGACTTCGGTCCCTGGTATCTGGCCTGCTGCCCTGAGGCTGTGGGAAGCAGCGCAGCCCTGCGAGTTTGAGTGGCAGAGGAAGCCATTCACCGCATGGTGGCTGGGAAGCAGAGCGGACGTGGGTGTGGTCCCACTGTCCCCTTGTCACTTTCCACAGACAACCCCCACTAGGTCCCCTGGATTTTAGCCTCTCCCAGCTCCTAACAGCAATGCTGGTGAGGACAAGACGGCATCGGGAGGACATCAGGGCCCTGGCTCCAGCATCCTGGTCCCAGCCCCCAAGGCTCCTCTTTGTCTGAGTCTCAAGAATCTTGAGGGTTCCAGCCCAAGTCCAAAGTCTGCAGAAGGAACATGTACTGTGAATCCCTGTGAGGATAGGAAAGTCTAAGATAGCACCATGCAGTGTCAATACACCCATCTCAGAGAGGAGCAGGAGGGATCAAAGTAGGATTGAGACCCAGCAGGGCCCTGTGTGACATCAGCGTGCGGCTGCAGGATATGGGCACCTGGCCTGGCAGCTCTGCTCAGTGCCCACGGCCTCCCCAGCAGACAGTGCACGGGGCTGGCACTCAGCTCCTTGGGTCTCCACTGCTCTGGCTCCCTGGCAGCTTGGTGTACCATCGTGTCAGGGCCCTTTGCAGGGACGGGCCCCCTACCTGGCCGGCCGGGCCTCCCTGCACATCTCAAGGAAGCCTTGAGATGGTGGCTGTGCCGCGCATGCTTGTGAAGCCAGCAGCGGCCTGTGGTGCTGGGCCTGCTGCTTCCGGCATGCGAGCTTCGTGAGCGGGTTGGACCGAAGCAGCCTCCTGCGAGACCGTTTCCTCCAGCACCGTCCTCAGTGTGAGCCGAAAGCCCCGGGCTCAGTGGGCCTAGGGTCTCCCACGTTTGGGTCTGCAGAGGGCACCGCGAGGCGTCCTTCCTGTTGTCCAAGGACAAACACTGTCTGGCAGCTTTCTCCTGAATTCTTCCCATCCTCCTCCTCGTCTCTGAGACAGGGTCCTTTACGGACAGATTCACTCACATGGCCCTCGCTGGCCGCCTACTCATGATCCTCCTGCCTCAGCCTCCGAGTGGGGTTACGAGTGTGCGCCACACACCCTGCAGCGGTTGGCTCTACTGGTGCTCACCTCTCGGTGTTTGCAGCCTCCTGTCTTCGCAGAGCTGCAGGTTCTCCAGTTTGCTCTGTCTCTCTGCTCCTCCTCCTTGTGCGCTGCTCCTGAGTCTAAGGGTAAGTTTGGCTTGGAGCAGCTGGTGATAACTGCAGCCTCCAGCTCTGCTGTTGAGTTCCTCCCTTAGATCGCCTGTGTCACCTTCACGTACGTCTCCCACTAAGGCTGTGGACACAAAGTGCTCACGTTCTTTGCCAAGGCGTCAAAGTAAAGTCCTTATTTCCACTGGAAATCTCACGGCCAAAACCTGCAGCACCCGCATCTCAGTCCGCTGTGACCCCACCAGAATGGCCACCACGCCCTCCTGTAGCACTCTAGCTTTCTGTAGCCTGCAGTGTCCCCTTCCCAGATCGTTGTGCACATTAATTCCACAACATACTTGTGCTGTCGAGTATGGACAACAGTGACTGCTCTTCTGGGCTCCAACTCTATACCACTTTTCTGTTACTGTGACAGAACACCTAACAGATGAGCTCCGAGAACTGGCTTGATTAGGCTCACGTTCTGGAGGGTTCAGTCCCTGTGAGCTGTGCCCCGTGGGGAGCCCGATCCACGTGGAAGCCCGTGGAGAGAGGCTGCTCCTCGTCCAGTGGAGAGTCCTTAGAAGCGTGACTGGAGGTCCCATGTGACCCAGCTTTTCTCCTGGGTATCTTCCCGAGGAAACAAGCATTGCAGCGCGGTTGCGGCAGCGAGAGAAGCGCGCATGAGACCGAAAGCAAAGGAACAAGCTTTCGGGAAAGCTGGTGACCGACACCCTGAGCCGAGCCAGGGAAACAGTGTTGGTGCTGAGTTGGACTTGGCTTCTAGGATATTTACCTGTCAGGTTTCCAATAGCAACCACCTCATATTGTCTCATTCTGAGGATTTTACAAGGTACACATAACTGTCACAAGGTTTATGTTTTCCAGATACTGTTGACCATCTGCCAGCCGTGGGACATGGGATTTAATGTTGATCTGCTCCCAGTTTGTTCTGTCTGTCCTTCCCCTTACGACCCTGCTTTTCTCTGAGGGGTTTATGCTCAGCTCCGTGCGGAGGGGGGAGTTCTTGTACAGTTTAGGTAACTGTAAGGGACCTTTAAGGTGGCTTCCAGAGGAGAGTGGAGTCCTCCGTCGCATCACCACAGTGGCCATCTCGGAAGCAGCCCTGGCGCCCACCAACCAGGGAGTGATGATAAAGCTGTGGTGGTGTTTTAGCTATCGTGGAGTATTCTGAGACCTTCGTAGCGTAATGGATGGCTCGAGACCGTAATCGTAAGTGAAATAGATTGGGCACGCGTGAGTATCGCCCCTCTGTGGTGAGAGAGGCTGGAAACGTAAGTAACAGGAATGTACAGTGAGTATTGTGGAACAGGAAGAAACGCCACAAGGAGGCGGGAACTAGGGAGGGGGAGGAAGGAAGGGAAGGAAAAGGAGAACAGAAGGAAACTGGAAGCCCGGCTCTGTGAGCGGGAGGGGAACAGAGGAAGCAGTCTACCGCGCGCAGACTCGAATTCCCTGTGATGAGTGGGCATTGCCTGCCTGAATCGTACCAATAAGCTTGGTGAGGATGCCGCGCCCCCTGGCTGCAGGGCTGCAGAGGGAGGGCCGGCCCCTTCCACACACCCTGACCTGCTGCCGCTCTGTATCAGGGTTCTCTAAAGGAAGAGTGTGCAGGATACGTAGCGGGGTGTAGTGGCACACACCTGCCACCCTAGCACTCAGGAGGCTGAGGCAGGAGGGTCACCACAGATTTAAGGCCAGCGTGGGCTGCATGGTGAGACTGCATCTCACAACTATGTGTGTTAAATTCCACGCACTGTGGAGTTGTGAGAGAGAGGTGCCGAGTCGCAATGACCGCCTGTGGGGTGTAGGTGGAGAACCATCCTCAGTGGCCGAGTGCCTTGGAGGACAGCGAACAGCAGCGGCCCAAGGGTAGGCGACACTGAGGGCTGTGGTGAGGCCTGGGCTCCGGGACAGGAGAGCCTCTGTCTCACACTTGGCCCTGGGCCTTTGCCCAGAGACTGCCTCATCTCAGCCACGTGGGTCCCCAGGTCTCCCCAGATGCTCCAGAGTTCTGCCCAGGACCCCCACCTGCCACTGAACCCCACCCCAGCCTGTTCTGTTACTTTGCCCAGGCTGACACAGTCTCCCGCCCCGCTCAGCACGTGGAGCCGGAAGGCATGGCCCAGCTGGCGGGGAGGCCTCCGGGTCCCGGGCTGGGCAGGTGCCCTGCGCCGCTGCTCCAGGTGCCAAGTCCTCCCCCGTTCCCAGGGGCGGCGGGGCCTGCAGGAGCCTGGGTGAAGGACGGTGCTGGAGGAGGAGCCCATGACAGGCAGGGCCATCCTTCCCACTGGCCTCGCTGAGCCTGGACCACCCCGAGCTGCTCGGTCCGGGATCTGAAGCTGGGGTACACCAAGAGCAGCATCGAGGTCAGGGCCCCTCGCACCCCAAAATAGGAACCACCACGCCAGAGGAGAGCATGAGCTGGTGGCTGTGAAAGACAGGAGGCTGCAGGTGACAATGCTTGGGAGCCCTAGAAGGTCCGCAGCAGCAGAACTCGCTTCCTAGCGAGAAGTGGCCTAGAGGACCCAGGTGGCTGACACAGCTACTGGGCAGGGTCTTGCCCTTCCAAAGCCTGGTCAGTGGGAAGCGCCCACCGTCGACGGGGGAGACCCTGGCACCAGGACCCAAGGAGCCAGTGGACAGGGCCAGCATCCGGGTGGCCAGGCCCCATGGAGGCTAAGGAGGCCTCTGCAGTGAGTGCCGGCGCCCTGCGTGCTTCGGGTGCTGTGTCACCACCACCCTCCCCTGTGGCCTTGGGGTCTTCTGCAAAGGCGGCCTTGCCCCAGACCAAATGCCCAAGGGACAGACAACTGCGACTCCCTGGAACGCTGTCCTGCTGGCTCCAGGGAAAGCCAGGAAGGAGAGGCTGTGGGCACAGGGTTGGCCTGGGAAAGCCACTCCTTCGCCATCGCTACAGCAGCCTAAGGGTCAGCACCGGCAGCCCTGGCAGCTCTGCCAGGCCGGCAGCTGTCTTCCAGAGCTAGACAGCAGGTGCTTGCAGCTCAAGAGGCGTCACTGACAGCAAGGAGGAGCGCTCCCTTGTCCAGGCCCCTGCGCACCTCCCAGCGGCACAAAAAGCACAGTGTGCGCCTTTCGGGAGGGGGAGGAGGTGTTGTCGCCACCAGAGGCAGCACGACGTCACCGGAGGTCCAAGCTCAAGGCTTGGGGAGACACTGGTGACAGCTGTCAGGCATAGTGGACAGCGGCCCCCAGCAGGAGGCCGTCCACCCACCCCGCAATAGCCCTGCGACGCAAGACAGCAAGGACCAGAAACCGCGCGGGGTTGCCGGGCTGAGACAACAGCATGTGACAGGGACTGTTCCAGGGGATTTCCAGAGTCCAGAGCAGCCTGGGAACGCCAGCAAAGCCGAGTGCCGGCTGCCTTTCCTGCCTCTTTCCCACTCATCCTAGACGGTCCTTGCCGGTGTGCGTGACGGCCACCAGCACCGGCCACAGACACGGCGCGTGTGTCGCTGCTTCCCCATCACTGGGATGAAGTGGCCTGCGAAATGCTCAGCAGCCGCAATGCAGAGGTGGAGACGCTTGTTTGGGCTCCTGCTCAGACAGGCTTGTGCCTGAGGCAGGACAGCAGCTCCCCTCTGCAGCCAGGAAGGAGCAGGCAGAACCGGAACAAGAGCTGCTGCTCCGGGTCCTGCCTGACCCCGGGCCCCGCCCCCATCCTCGGCCCCGCCCCCATCCCGGGCCCCGCCTCCTAGGAGCTCTGTCTGCCCAAACACACCCACGCGAATCACTGAGGGCAGCACACCGTCTAGCATTCACCCTGCACACACGGGAGCTGGCGAACGTTTCAGAGCTAAGTCATATTTGTTGCGCATGCTCGAAGAGGCCTAACGTTTTCTTCCAAGGCAGAAAGGTCAAAGTGCGCTGCCCTGGGTGGCTCAAGTTAGGGAGGCAGGGCACAGGCGTCCCCCCACCTGTGGCCGAGTGGCCCTTCCCAGAGGGCCCTGCCCTGGTGAGGATCTCCCCATGCGTGGTAGATCAAACAGAACCGAACTGAACCAGACCAAACCGAGCCACACCACACACCACATCACACCATACACCAGTACAGTTGCTTCATTTGTACTTTTCTAAGGGCAAAATCTATCTTACATCTTTTGTAAACTCTTCAGATATTTTTCCTTCTCTGAATTGCGGTCATATTCTTTGTGTACTTTCAAAAAATTGGGTCTCATTTTTCTTACTGAATTGTAGGTGTTCTTAACATATTATGTCTAGGGACTTTGTTTTCATTGTAGTCATGGCATCTTTTGTCAAACTCAAATTTTAAAATTTGGCATAAGCAAATCAACCAACCTTTCGCCCCACCCGCATTAAAGCCAACCTGAAACTTCAGAATAAAGGGGGATTAAGTTTTGGGAAGGAAGGAGGGTCCTAGAAAGCCAATGGAATTCTTCCTGAGAGCCCACTAGAAAGCAGGCTCCCGGTCCCCGCGGGCCGACAGACACAGGCCATGCAGTGCCATGCACGCGACTGACAGGTTCTGAGCGCGCTGCCAGGGAGGCAGCGGGGCGGGCTGGGCGGGCTTACAAGGGCTTGGGTTTTTTTTTGTACCAGGAATTGAACTCGGGACCTTTCACTGCCAGGCAGGCGCTGTGCCACTGAGCTACATCCTGAGGCCTCTGCCAAGCTCATTGTGAAGCCAGCAAACTTCTCACTTGGATTCCCCACAAGGATGAGTCCGCTCACGCACCACGGGCTTCTGCCCTGTGGGGACAGGGACGTGAGGGATGCAGTGCCGGCCAGGGCCTTTCTCCTGTGGTGACTGCCCCTCTGTGCCAGGCCCTGCCTCCTAGCAGCTCCTTCAGCCCGAACGCATCCACAGTGAATCACTGATGACTTGGGCCACAGGGTGCAGCCAGGCGCTGTGCCAGGGGTAGCAGGGTGCAACCCACTTGCTCTTTTTTGCAGGGGTGGGGGCGGAAGCCAGGCCTCGAGCAGGCTGGGCATGCGCCCTAGCACTGAGCTGTACCTGCTGCCCGTCTGTCTCCCCACAGCCAGCGGACTTGCCTGGTCTGGGTGCCAGGTGCAAGGCTCACATTGCCTGCCCAGCAGGACTTGGGCCAGTGTGACGCTTGCCCACCAGCAGCTCAGCTGGCCCAGCCTCACCTCCTCTGAGGGCAGGGGATGGGGCCACTGTCCATGCAGCAGTCTGGAGCTTGCCCTGGCCCCCAAGTGACAGTCCAGCGTGAAGAACTACATCCCCTGAGGGCCATGGACATGGTGCACAGGGTCCCGCCACATGATCTGGGGTCATGAGTGCTGCCACATGGGAGGCAAAGCCCCTGATGTCCACCGTACAGCCAGCCCAGGGCATCCTGGTTGCCTCGGATCATGTCCACCCTAAGCAACAGCTGGTACCAGAGCTGGTGCCACCCTGGGGTTCCTGACAAGTATGCGGAAAGGTACATCCAGGGCCCTCCATGGAAAAAGAGCAGGGTTCTGGAGCTTTGGGCCAACCTCAGGGGCCATTTCTGGTCCTTGTTTCATACCACAGGATGTCTGTCTACTTCTGAGCCAGTCCCAGTGATTTTGTGTCTTCACATTATGTTTATTTTCTTACAAATGGAGTTGAGGGAAGGGACCCAAATCCTAAGTGTAGGAGCCAAGGACAAGTGTCAAAGTGGACAGGACCATGAAATCCTCACACAGACAGGAGAACCGCCTGCCCCCCGGCAGCCCTGAGCTGCAGGGCTGAGCCGAGCCGCACCTCCCAGGGTCCCTGGTGGCTTAGGGCAGGAGCATCCTGGCCAGGGGCGGGGGTCGGAGACTACAGAGAGCCCTGAGAACCTCTTCACAGTCCACAGAAATCCACACTGGTAAGCCCAGGGAAAAGTTACTGGAATCCTAGTAAGTTAATTCCAGCCTAGCACTTCCAGAGCAATGCACGGCAAGAAAAAGGTCACTAAGGCGCACTTGTAGTCATAGGGAGCCAAGGGGACTGGGGTCCAGCTAGGATGACAGCTATCCAGAACAGAGGCCTCGACTCAGGGCTGAACCTGGGTTTTATTAAGGCATGGAGAGGAGAGGGGCTGGGGGTGAGCGGCTGCAGCTGCGGCAGGAAGTGGTGAGCGCCGTGAGCCGGGCTCGGTAGGAGCCGAACTCACCTCTGCAGTAGAGAAGCATCCGCAGAGCCGTCTGCGCAGCACGACTTACCTGACGTGTGGGGGTCGCTGCTTCAGCCCTCGTGTGTAATTTTTATGTCCTGAGATGTCACAGCCTCGTTCTCACGGCTTGATCTCAGCGTGGGTACGCACAGCCCTGCTCACATGGTATTTGGGAGCAATGGCGGGGCTTCAGGGACCTGTCGCCTTGCTCTGATGACCAGGACAACACAGGGCACCTGGCTGGACCCACCGCAGTGCTTAAAGCCAACTGAGCAGGTAAGGAAAAGCGCTCGCCAGCTCTGCGCACACCAGCACGTGGAGAGGGCCGGGCCCAGCCCAAATGGAGGTCGTGCTCCTTTCGAGGAACCATGGGTGGCGTTCAAAGCTGGCCTCCTCCCGCACACTGGGGGAAGCACAGCGCCACCCGCAACGCACACATCCTGCCAGGCGGCTCGCTCCACTTGGTGATGAGAGGAGCAGGTGTGCGGCCCTCATCTTCAGGCCACCTCCTGCACGTCAGGAGCACCGAGCATGTGTCACCCAGCAGCCACAGCGCGCAGGGCCTTACTAAATTCTTTTTGATAAAAGGCAGCTCTGTATCATCCGACGGCATCTCCTATCATACAACAAACTAAATTTATTGGGTGGAAAACAGGGAAGGGACGAGAAGATCGGGTGGTTGTGTGGTGATACAAGAGTTCATGGAGGACGAATGGGGGCCCAGCTCCCAGGCCTGCAGAGACCGTGTCCCGGGCTGCAGGACAGGCCGGCCTGGCCACCACTGGCCCAGAGTCACGAGTGCAGTCACATCGCAGGCGGCTCCTGTCAAGGACACTTCTTCCTCTCTGCCTCAGAAGGGTGCTTCTTGGGCCCAAGCCCAAGGTCCTGTTTCATCTCCCACCGGTGCAGAACAGACTGGGTGGACGTGACTTTGTGCCTCATGTCTTCGTCCTGTGGGAAAGAAAACACCCGCAACCTTCCAGAGCGGAGGACGGCTGAGCCCCAAAGTCACCCCTCCATCAGACCAGGTGGCTTGGGAGAGGTGGCCAGGAGTTTCAGAGAAACAGCAAGACAGGGAGACAGGAGCCAGATGAGCAGAGCGCGCTGCTGTGAGCCTGGGACGCCAGGAGCCCAGGGCGCACGGGAAGCCCGCCCACCATACCTCTTCAGGCCACCTGTCCTCCCGGGGAAGCCGCTGCAGCCGGTTCCTGGTCAGCTCCAGCTGCAGGCCGTCGAACCTGTGCTTGAACCAGCGGTGCGCCTCCTCCAGGTTGGCGGTGATCTGCACACGGGACAGCCGCAGGCCTTTGGGGGTTACTTGGGGACTTTTTAACCTGATAATAAAAGACCTAAATTCTGACTGTAAGGTCTCTGCAATCTACTTGTACAGTATTCTCAAGAACCTACTAGATCAGAGTCAGTTTTTAATTTTTTCTTAAAGATTGGGTCTTGCTATGGAGTTCAGGCTGGCCTTGAATTCACTACATAGCCATGTTGGCCTCAAACTTGCAGCGAGCATCCTGCCTCGGCTCCCACA